ACATCCCATCTACACCAGAGACGGCGTAGACCGGTATATGCGAAACTAGCCTTCAATATCGGTGCTGAGATTGCGTAAGCGATCAATCCGTTGGCACTGGCTGATGCAACTTCCCAAATAAGCGAATTGGTCAACGCGCTATATCACTTCACTCCCTATTTCTAAGATAGGAGTCACTGTAGTCCAGTCCTATAGCATTATCTTACATTTGACAGGAGCGAACCGCATGCCAAACATTCGCTGAAGCATTAGCTATTCGAGATCTAAAATCGGACCTCTGCATACAAAAGCGATACATACATTCTCTTGCCTTACCATGGCCAGAGTAAAGTTCTTATCACAATTTTGCTTCTTTCCTTTATTATGTAAGCTCACTATTATTACCATTATTATTTTATTTTATTAATACTTTTATTATCATTTTGTCCCCATCATCCACATTTTATTACCACTCTATTACTGTTTATTAACAACATTGTTTTTCATACATATTTTATACAAAAACACTTTATAGCCTTTCCACTAGTTCCTGTCCATTTTACACGAGATTATTGATTATTCACTATCTCACACTTATTACGTCATGCCAACTTCTGTCTCCTTTCTAACTTACAATTAGTCATCCCTTCTTACACCTTACATTATGTAATACAATTTTCCAAGGACAAAATTTACCAGTATCTGAGTGGTCTAAAGATTTCTTTGTTAATTATAATTACGGTTGTACAGCTCATGAAAATGAATCGTCGAAAAGAAAATTTTCTTCACTGTTTGTGCCTTTTTCTTATGACTCATTATGGGAATATTTCGTTCATTCGTAGCAGCTCAAGGTGTTCAGAAGAATCTGCCTTCACTTACAAGGACTATATCATCTGCATTTTCTATGTCAACGAGGTTACTCCCTGGTAACAAGTCAATCCCTGAGTCTCTGAAGTGAGTTAGGGTTAAGTCCATTAGTACATCTATGATGAAAATGAATAGAAATTGGGATAGTGGGCATCCCTCACTGTCGGACACCACTAGTTGTCACCACTTCAGATGACAACTCACCGTAAGCTCTCACCTGGCTGCATGAGTTTGAGTAGAGTTAGTGCCTTGATCAGTGCAATGTATTTTCTCGGTATTCCTTTTACAGCCAAGCATCGCCAGAGTACCTCTCGGTCGACAGAATCGAATGCCGCCTTTAGGTCAAGAAATATAACGATTGTTGGACGCCGACGGTGAGTATGCTTATGTTCCAGAATCTGTCGGAGGGTGAAGATATGATCAATACGCTCTCTTTCTCGTCTAAAGCCTGTTTTGTTATCGCGTGTTTGTGCCGCCCGAGCACCAACTAGTCTACGCATTATTATTGAGTGTAGAACTTTAGGTACCATATTAGTCAAGCTAATCCCCCTAATCACAGGAAGACTTGTCTCCTTTCTTGTATATCGCGATAATCAATAGGTAGGCGGAGAGAGACATTGATCCCTATATCTTTATTCATCAAGTTTACACCTAACACATGCAGTTTGTCATGGCGCTACCTCAATACAAGAGATATGGAAAACACTGCTACCAATATAATCAGAAGAGAAGAAATAATGCAAGTGAATTAACAAAATCTGAAATTTATTTTAACACCTTGATCTGGTTAAGAACAGTGAATTATGCTCGAAATATCATCAGTTAATCAATAATCCTGTGTTTGTCATCGTGTGTTATATCGAAGTAGACATTTTCCTGCTATGGAATGAAGATGTCAAACGGTACACCTTTATCAGTTTGGAATTCTGTTCCACTCCCTCAGCATAAACAACATAGTTCGAATTTTCCACACCAATGTGAAGTCAGTGAGTCAATCAGTCAGTTCTTCTATATACAGGTTATAGAAACATGGTGCTAGTGTCACGAAAAGCATCTCCAACAAGCTGTATACTGAAGAGCAGATGGCTGCCCGGCCGGTAAGAAAGAATTATTAACAAGAAACTCTTGGAACAAACCAATTAAGAACCTCGTATTGTTCAACAAATATTCCGAAGACAAAAGAGATGGATCGGGCACACACTGAGGAAACCGTTGGATAACATCGCTCGAGTGTAACCCGGATAAGAAACGACGGGATGGATGTGGGTCCGAGGTGACATGGAAGAGATCGTGTGGGGGAGGAGATGACAGACTATGGCAACCGTGAGGTAGGCTAAAGTGGGCCGCCAAAAATAGGACGAAGTGGATATGACCTGATGAACTCCAAACTCAAAGGAATAATAATATGCACTGACAACCTATCACAGTGTCCAAATTTTATCTACTCTTATATCACGCAAGAAGACATGTTAGGTTTAATTCAAAATTTATTTTCAAATATCAAAAACCCAACAAAATATATCCTCAAATTCAAATATAAGTAATATTTACACATTACAGTGAATTATTTGCCCCCCCCACACACACACACACACTCCACTTTTGCTCCAAACCCCGACTCGACTCAATTTGACAAGCACTACATCGACTCAAAATTTAATATCCGTTTTGTCATGTCTTGAGCAACTGAATCACGATTATATATATCGATCTATGAGGAAAACAAAGAAAGAGGGATAGAGAGAGAAGCAAAGCATCACTTTATAACAATAACAAAAGGACGTGTCATCAGAAGGACAGTATGATAAAAATGTCAAGCAATATGGTTGGTTACATAGGTGATGTTGGTGGGTGTATAATTGGGGTAGTCATGAGAAAACACGTAGTTCAACAGAATGGGGCTTCTCTTCTGGCGAATTGATTCTCTTCTCCTTTAGCTGTACAATCACATTCATGCACAATCTCCCTTTTCATGGAATAGAATTAGTAACAAAACTAAGGCGTTGTCACACTCATAGTTGTTAATGTTAGCCAATGAGCGCAGAAGAGGAGTTGAATAAGTGTTATTTGATTGGTTGGAGGATTTAATCATCATAACTATTGGAAAAGCTGAGAGTACTGGACAGCTGTTTCCCCCGTGCTAGTTTGGGACTCTTCATTAGTATATGTGTGTATTCACAAGGAGTGGATGCATCTGAACCAGCCATTGAGAACAATTTTGAGCCATATAACCAATAATTGTCTCCAGCATTCATTGGTTTTTATCATCCTGAGGACCTCAACAAGGAAGTCTACACTATTCTACGTGAATGGCTTAAACTAACTGTTGTGGATTTCATTGACCGATGGAGCCATGTTTTGGTGTGACCACCACTAGGTTTATTCCAACCTGATCCATCCTATGTTAGCTAACATTAGCCGTCATTGAGGAAGGCGGTGAATGGCTAGAAATAGGTAATACATGGCCTAACCATCTCAATCGATGTAACTTCACAGCTTCGTCGATTGATTTCCCCTCCTTACCTAACACTCGGCCGATACCTAAACTCAATATTGCTCACCCTATTATACTACCACATCACACGGGAGATAGAACTCAGACAACTATGATCAAAGACAGCTAGTCAGGCTTTTTATATCTTCCGCTTTCAATGGCCATGTCTCATCACAGCCATAAAGGAAGATAGAGCGAACCACTGAGAAGTACACACGGCCTTTGGTCGACAGCCAGCAAGATATCACGTTTACGCTAGAGACAGGGTAGACTGTTTTATGCGAAACGAGCCTTCTATATCCGTGCTGAGATTTCGTCAGCGATCAATCCGTTGGAGATGGCTGATGCAACCTCCTAAATAAGTGAACTGGTCAACGCGCTCTATCACTTCGCTCCCTATTTCTAAGCTAGGAGTCAATGTAGTTCCTTAGTTCGATACGCGTTGGGTGTGTAGTGCCCATGGGTCTCAAACTAGCATGAAACAGCTATCAAGTAATCCCTGATCTATACTTAACCTCGCGTTTCTCTCTAGCTCCGTAGTTGTTTACCAGTCCCAAGCCTGGGAGAAGGGCAGGGGGTTGGGCTTGGCGCCAGTGACCCCACCCCTGAAAACCAGTGGAACTGCTATATAGACTTCAACGAACAATTAAAAATAAAAAAACAAAAAATATAAACAACAAACTTATTTTTTCCTAGTCAGAGAGATGGAATAACGCCGGCAAGAAAACAGTCGTCCAGCCGATGTGTCTTCTTATGATGAAGGCAAAAATAAAAATGTCGAAATGAAATGCCTAGGTAGCCAAAGAAATGAGAAAATATGACACATGGAAGTGCTCGTGGAACCACGACCACCCTGAGGTTGTAGACATCATGATAACACTTTCATCATCACTCTGCAATCAATTTGGAAATCTTCTGCACTCCACAGGATAAAGCACAAGTTCCGGATTTTCACTACCAACATAAGGTAAATCAGTGCCTCTTCATGAATTGACCCAATTAGATGAAATAGCAACATTTACGAAATACTTTGCAATGACTGTGAAGGAGGTCAACCACATAGATCAAACCAGTAGATCGAGGGTGATGATTATCAGAACGTAAGAATTTAGCTAAGTGTAGATAAGTAATTTAGAAAAGCAATCCCAACAGACTACTGAAGACTCGCATCAAAAACTGTCTTCGCTGGTTGCAAACTGAAGATCAGATGGCTGGCTGGCCTGTTGGCCGACCGGTGAGAAAGAATTATCAACAAGAAACTCTAGGAACGAACCAATGAAGAACCCCCTATTGTTCAACATATATCATATTAGTTTGTTTATTAGATGTATCACACAGTGAAACAGTATTATTTATAGTTTTTTGTCCTCTCCTATTTGTCGTCGTAGGGGTAGTAGAATTTTCCAGATATCTGTTTGGACAGGTGTTAAATCATTCCTATTACATGTATTTGCAGTTGATTCGATAAACAAAGCTTCTGTTATCAATCTCTCCCTCCACGCTGTGACATTATATTTTAAAACTGTCATCTTATCCCATCCTATTGTATGGTTGTGTGTGACTGCATGTAGTGCTATAGCCAAATAAGATAAGAAATCTAGAGAATAGCTCAGCTATAGCACTCACTACATGCAGTCACACACAACCATACAATAGGCTGGATGGGATAAAATGACAGTTTTAAAATCTAATGTCACAGCTGGATGGAGGGAGAGATTGCTAACAGAAGCTTTGTTTATCGAATCAACTGAGAGAGAATACGTGTAATAGGAATGATCCAACACCTGTCTACCCAGATATCTAGAAAATTCTACTACCCCTACGACGACAAATAGGAGAAAACAAAGAAAACTATAAAACTCAAGTTTCGAAGTCGTGTGATTATAATTGATGAAATGATTATGAACAATAAATTTTGTTCGAAACGTCATCCAGTAGACACTAATACTGTGTGATATATCTAATTAACAAACTAATATGGAATTACTTACTATCATAGTGCCCAAGTTCTACACATATATTAATAGTTCAACATATATTCCGAAGAAAATGGAGATGGACTGGGCACACATTGAGGAGACCGTCGAAAGACATCACTCGAGTGTAACCCTAATAAAAAAACGACGAGTTAAATGTGGATCCGAGGTGACATGGAGGAGATCGTGCAAGGGGGAGATGCGAGACTATGAGTAACCATGAGGTAGGCTAAACCGAACCGCCAAGAATAGGACAAAGTGAAGACGAGCTGTTGAAACCCTATATGCCAGTCGGAATCCAAGAGAATAATAACAATCATAATAATAATATAGGAATGACAACCTATCACAGTGTCCAAATTTTAATCTACTCTTTGTTATGTATGTGAATATTAGGACCTGGTAGACTACGAGCGAATCTAACTTAATGAGCTGGCTAATTTGTCCTAATCGCACGTCAACAACAACAACAACAACAATACCGCTGGGCACGCAAGACAAAGAAAGAAGACTGGACGTTGATACGAGAGCTTTTACTGTCTCTAACAGCAGTCAAAATGTTAAACAAAATCTCCGTATTTATACAGTTAGGAAAATCAATGTCACATTTTAAAAATATTAACAAACCATGGGAATTCAGTAATTAAAATCAATAATCACGCAGATGCGGGAAATCAATGATTATGCAAGTGTGGGAAATAAATAATGAATATTGATGAGTCACCTGTGTATATATCACTCTTATATCACGCAAGAAGACTTGTTAGGTTTAACTGAAAATTTATTTCCACATATCAAAAAACCAACAAAATATATCCTCAAATTCAAATATAAGTAATATTTACACATTACAGTGAATTATTTGCCCCCCCACACACACACACTCTCCACTTTTGCTCCAAACCCCGACTCGACTCAATTTGACAAGCACTACATCGACTCAGAATTTAATATGCGTTTTGTTATGTCTTGAGCAACTGAATCACGATTATATATATCGATCTATGAGGAAAACAAAGAAAGAGGGATAGAGAGAGAAGCAAAACATCACTTTATAACAATGACAAAAGGATATGTCATCAGAAGGAAGCCTTACGCAGAATTCTTAACAAGGCAGGAATAAAAACGGCATTCAAACCCACAAACTCAATTAGAAACAAGCTTTGTCGGTTAAAGAATCCTGTAGAGCCTTTAAAACAAAACAATTTAGTTTATCTAATACCCTGCCTGCAATGATTGTCAGGTCAAATACATAGGTCAAACTAGTAGAACAGGGGCAGTCAGACTAGCTGAACATAAAAACTTAGCAAAATCTAGATTGGTTGACCCGAATAAGATAAGAAATCTAGAGAATAGTTCAGCTATACCACTCACTAAATGCAGTCACACACAACAATACAATTGGCTGGATGGGATAGGATGACAGTTTTAAAATCTAATGTCACAGGGTATAGGGAGAGATTGATAACAGAAGCTTTGTTTATCGAATCAACTACAAATACATGTAATAGGAATGATTTAACACCTGTACACCCAGATATCTGTAAAATTCTACTACTCCAACGGCGACAAATAGGAGAGAACAAAGAAAACTATAAAATTCAAGTGTCAAAGTCTTGTGATCACAATTGATATGATTATGAACAATAAATTTTGTTCGAAACCATGTCATCCAGTAAATAATACTGTTTCACACACTGTGTGATATATCTAATAAACAAACTAATATGGAATTACTTACTACCACAGTGCCCAAGTTTTACACATATATTAACATCAGAAGGACAGTATGATAATATTGTAGACCGATTTATTAATAATAATATTAATAATAATTCGCTTTATTCCAAAAACAGTACTAATGAAACAGTGAGGAATTTTCAGCATTCAGTACAATATTGCATCTAATTTACTCAAAAAATAAATAAAAGAAATAATCATTACATAATAATGATAACAAAACGTTTTTATAGCAGCTATTTAGCAAATTACTATAAGCAGTACGGAGAAAAATACGCATAAAGTATAAAATTATAGTAATAATAGTAATAACAACTAAAATAAAATAATAGCAAAGTTATAATTAAACGATAGAAAGGGTGACACCATAAAATTACAGAAAGATGAACAATGAAAGGGTCGATTCACTATGCTAATTACATAGTAACTTATATGTTTCACGTCTAACAGTGGCTGTCTCCATCACATAAAATACGGGCTAAATACGGTATTGTAGAATTTTTGTACTTAGTGGAAGTGCGAGCATATAACTTCTTACACTGACTTCTCGTCCTACCTGATGAGATACAAGGGGATAGTTGTGAATAAAGGGGGTGCAGAGGGTCTGACAGTACGGCCTTTGCCCATTTTGTACAGGAATTTACGTGTCTCTCGACTATAGTATTGGCGAGCTCACGCAGTGGGCAAACCACAAGCCCTACTCACAGCATTCAATACCTTTCGTCACCACAGTACCATCTTCTTATTCTGCACAAATCACTGTTGTTTTTGCTTTATTCATCTTATTAGGTAACTCAAGTCTCAGTGGTTTATAATGGTCTACGAGCTCGCTAGCCTTGTAACCAGAAGGTCCTGGGTTCGAACCCTGGCGGTGGGAGCGTACTAGTGAAGAGTCCTAAACTAGCACGGAGGAAACAACTGTCCAGTACTCCAGTTCAGGTTTTCCAATGGTTATCTAACTGATGTCAGCTCATGATGAAATCCTCCAACCAATCAAATAACACTTATTCAACTCCTTTTATGCACTCATTGGCTAATATTAACAACTATGACTGTGACAACGCCTCAGTTTCGTTACTAACCCTATTCCGTGTGAAGGGGGCGATCATCTTACGTACATCTCCTCTTCATTACGTAACTGCTTTACCATTGTATGCATACATTTACTTTGTTTAAACTGGAACTCTCTCTGTGTGTAAAACCTATATAAGCGTAATTTTCTGAGCACTGTTCACTATGTCCGGAAGTATATTAAAACGTTTCTCTACATGAACTTAATAATAATAATAATTTACTTATTTAGACTGTAAGCAGCAGATGATGAGGCGAAGCCAAGGAAATAAACAATGATGGTACTGTAACAACAGAAGACAAGGGTCAGGCAACAGAACGTTTATTACGGAAAATCAACACGTATTTATAGATTTTGATGTACATTATTGTAGGTTAATGTTAGTAGAAAATACAGTCTGTTGATTGGTTGTTTCTCACAGAAAGTTAACCTTGCATCTCTTGTGGCTGTGTCAGTTCATCTATATGTTAACTGTATCCGCCTGTCCATCTTGACCTTGACCTTGACCTCAATTACTGTCAACCAATTTGGCTACCAACCATCTCTCACCACACTCGTCCCCCCGCCGTCAAAGACTTGAGACTGAAGTTGGTTGGTTCGGTCTTCTCGGTTCTTGGGGCTTTGCTCTTTTGTCTTGCTGTCTGGAATCTCGGCGCTTGCGGATGTTCACTTGTTTTTCTGTGTTTACCATTGCGATTGTGTCTGCGTAACCTCATCTCAACGTGACCATATATGGTCCTTCCCACTTTGGAAACTGTTTGCCTGACCCTGTCCATGTGGACGGTATTGAAGCATGATTAAGAAATGGAAATATATCTGGAGTTGGACGTGGTTGTAACAATTTTTTAAGCATTTGTACAGCAAACATCTCTATGTGCTCTTGCCAACGAGAATCAGAGTTAGCCAATTCTCTTGTAGCCATCAGTGCTGCTTTACGTACTTCCAGTCCATCAACAGAACAAAAATGTAGTAACATATTCAGCAGATCTTCTCTTTGAGTGACTGGACGTGTTTCGATGAGTGTACGTAGAATGTCAAAGCCATATGTTGCTTGTTCCGGTGATGAAGAATACCGTTTTAATTCATTGATTGCTCCAGGGGTTAATAAAGGTGCTTCGATTAAAAATCTACTAAAATAGTGTTGACGTATTTCTGGATTGGATAATTTCTGCAGAATTGCAATCAATAAACAATCATAAAATGATAGACAGCCTAAGTCATCCGGAGGAGCTACTGGCGTCTTCAGGATACTTAATAATTTATCCTTACTAGAGACGGTTTCAAATCTCCTGAAACCTCCTTCTTTGATCTTTTCGATTGTCTTCTAGAAGTATCTTTCAAAGAAGCAGAAGACAAAGAGGAAGGAGAAGAATTGGATAACGATGGTGTTTTGGCTCTTCATCCCCATCTGCTGTGTTCGCCACAGCATCGTCTTCGTCGTTCCCCTCTTCTCCGACAGGTTCATCATCATCATCTGTGCATTTTGGCTTCATTGAATTGTCATCTGAGATCTTCCTCTTCCTCTTATTATTGTTATTACACTTCTTCTTGTGCTTTCCATCTTCTTCATGAGAGATTTCATCTGTAGACACATCTTGGCGGCTAGTATCCCCTTCGGTAGTCTTCTCATGATTATCACTGGCGTCTGCGTTGATAGCATCGTCGTTCGTCTCTGACAGCATAATAATAATAATAATCACAATAATCATAATCATAATTCATGTGAGAAATTATCAAAAACCGATGATAATGATAAAAGCATGCTGTCAGAGACGAACGACGATGCTATCAACGCAGACGCCAGTGATAATCATGAGAAGACTACCGAAGGGGATACTAGCCGCCAAGATGTGTCTACAGATGAAATCTCTCATGAAGAAGGTGAAAAGCACAAGAAGAAGTGTAATAACAATAATAAGAGGAAGAGGAAGATCTCAGATGACAATTCAATGAAGCCAAAATGCACAGATGATGATGATGAACCTGTCGGAGAAGAGGGGAACGACGAAGACGATGCTGTGGCGAACACAGCAGATGGCGATGAAGAGCCAAAACACATCGTTATCCAATTCTTCTCCTTCCTCTTTGTCTTCTGCTTCTTTGAAAGATACTTCTAGAAGACAATCGAAAAGATCAAAGAAGGAGGTTTCAGGAGATTTGAAACCGTCTCTAGTAAGGATAAATTATTAAGTATCCTGAAGACGCCAGTAGCTCCTCCGGATGACTTAGGCTGTCTATCATTTTATGATTGTTTATTGATTGCAATTCTGCAGAAATTATCCAATCCAGAAATACGTCAACACTATTTTAGTAGATTTTTAATCGAAGCACCTTTATTAACCCCTGGAGCAATCAATGAATTAAAACGGTATTGTTCATCACCGGAACAAGCAACATATGGCTTTGACATTCTACGTACACTCATCGAAACACGTCCAGTCACTCAAAGAGAAGATCTGCTGAATATGTTACTACATTTTTGTTCTGTTGATGGACTGGAAGTGCGTAAAGCAGCACTGATAGCTACAAGAGAATTGGCTAACTCTGATTCTCGTTGGCAAGAGCACATAGAGATGTTTGCTGTACAAATGCTTAAAAAATTGTTACAACCACGTCCAACTCCAGATATATTTCCATTTCTTAATCATGCTTCAATACCGTCCACATGGACAGGGTCAGGCAAACAGTTTCCAAAGTGGGAAGGACCATATATGGTCACGTTGAGATGGGGTTACGCAGACACAATCGCAATGGTAAACACAGAAAAACAAGTGAACATCCGCAAGCGCCGAGATTCCAGACAGCAAGACAAAAGAGCAAAGCCCCAAGAACCGAGAAGACCGAACCAACCAACTTCAGTCTCAAGTCTTTGACGGCGGGGGGACGAGTGTGGTGAGAGATGGTTGGTAGCCAAATTGGTTGACAGTAATTGAGGTCAAGGTCAAGGTCAAGATGGACAGGCGGATACAGTTAACATATAGATGAACTGACACAGCGAGCCACAAGAGATGCAAGGTTAACTTTCTGTGAGAAACAACCAATCAACAGACTGTATTTTCTACTAACATTAACCTACAATAATGTACATCAAAATCTATAAATACGTGTTGATTTTCCGTAATAAACGTTCTGTTGCCTGACCCTTGTCTTCTGTTGTTACAGTACCATCATTGTTTATTTCCTTGGCTTCGCCTCATCATCTGCTGCTTACAGTCTAAATAAGTAAATTATTATTATTATTATTAAGTTCATGTAGAGAAACGTTTTAATATACTTCCGGACATAGTGAACAGTGCTCAGAAAATTACGCTTATATAGGTTTTACACACAGAGAGAGTTCCAGTTTAAACAAAGTAAATGTATGCATACAATGGTAAAGCAGTTACGTAATGAAGAGGAGATGTACGTAAGATGATAAGTAACTAATAAATTGGGTAACAAAGTACTGAGTACAACTCAAATGATAGAAATAAGAGACAAGCAAAATTACACTATGTCAAATAGGGTGGGGGGGTGAGATTAAAGCCAAAAATTACGTAATCAAAGAAAGAGAGAGAATACACACATCCAGTTACCAAGATGGGCAAGGAAAGACTGATAATTGCTTATTTCTCAACCTGTAAATAGGGTTTCAGTCGTTTGGAAAACTTGGCAGGAGTTGAACTTTCCTTGTCGATTGATAGTTTTAAAGGAATTTGTGATTTCCAACTCATGACCCGTAACAAGAAGTTTATATTCTTGAATTCAAATCAGTTATATCATTCATGGTGAATTCGATCGAATAAGACCACTTCATTTTGAATCTTGCACTGAAGATATTGACGATAAGGACAATGAAAGGTTCTCAGTTAAATCACTCAGCTCAGGGAACTCAGGGAACACACACAGATCAAAATCCTTAGGTTTGTGTAAAACTCTTTGATAAGAACAAGACAAGTAATTGTTCAACAAAGAGGCTGTTTTCGGTGAATTTATTTCTGCCATCAAGCTGTACACTCGCATTTATATCCAATCCTCCTTTTCACAAAAGACGGTAGTCATAAAAGTGATGAGTAATCAAAAGCATAGTGGCTAATATTAGTCAATAAATGCATGAGAGGTGTTGAATAAGTGTGTTAGTCTCAAGTAATGAGATGACGAATTTGACGAATGCGTTATAATTAAAATATGTACATTAAAACAAACGAAAATATGGAATAATGTACAAGTTCTAAAGAAATACGAGAGTCATAAGAAGTTAGAAAAACAAACAAGCGGACAAAAACCAAAGGTGTAGAAATCAAAAAAAAAATGTTACCGTGATAGAAGTGTAACGACAGAAGACAACGGCCAGGTAACAGATCGCATCCACTTACATTTAACAGGAACAAATTGGATCCCAAACGTATGAAGATTGCTGCTCAAGGTGGTCAGAAGATTCTGCATTTCATTAGCATCTTCACCAAGGAGGACTCTATATCATCTACATATCCTAGGCGGTCAAGATTCCACCCTAAGTCACTAGTCAGTAAGGGTCAATCCCATTAATACATGTATGATCAAATTAAACAGAAATGGAGACAGTGGGCATCTCTGACAAATACCGCTGGTTGTCATCACTTCAAATGACAACAGCTCTCCGTAAGCTCTTACAAGGGTGCATGAGTCCAACAACTGAGTGTCTTGATCACTGTGATATACGTTAAAGGTATTCCCTTTACGATCAAACATTGCCATGGTACCTCTCAGTCAACAGAGTCGAATCCAGCCTTCAGGTCAAGAAATAATGCAATTGTTGAACGCCAGTGGTGAGTATGCTTGTGTTCCAGAATCTATCGAAGGGTGAAGATATAATCAATACACTCTCTCAGCCTGGTCTAAAGTTTGCTTGGCTTCCTCGTGTTTGTTTCACCCGAGCACTACTTAACCTATGCATGATTGTTGTCAATGATTGTGAGCACTGAACGTTGGTTTATTGGCCTTGGTCGCCATTGGCGGGCAACTCGAAGGCGTGAATGATTCAATCGTGTACAAACAAGTTGGAAGAAGACAAAAGACTACGAATAAAAGTACAATACATTCCTTGTAAAACATTTGTTTTTATAGACTTTGTACAGAGCATTGATTTTAACTGCCGAAGAATACAACTTCTTCTCGTTCCTTGTGTTTTTTGGAATTAAAGTCGATATTGTACTCAGGATAATTGTCGATTCGGAGCGTCTTCGGAAGTAATAGGAACTTAGGGTTAAGTTCCTTGACAATTGTTGAGTCTGAAACTTCAGATACCATAATAGTCAAGCTAATCCCCCCCTATGATTATCATTGGAAGAATTGTTTCCCCCTCTTATAAACTGGGATAATCAATGGCTTACACCAGTCCAACTGGACCAATCTCTGGTTTGGTGCCCCATATAATTGTTATCAACAAAAGTTGACACAAACTCTGGTTGATAAAAATTATCCAGACAAGTTCATCAGGAGATATAAAGTAGTCAGTAACACCAAGACCCACTCTCCAACTCGCCCCTAAGAAAGACGTGTACATCAAGCTACCTTATATGAGGCATCAAAGCAGCATGATAACTAGACAAAGACTGAACGCTGCTGTCAAAAAGACTTTTTATGCATTTCAGATCATAATAATAAAGAATGTAAAGCCAATATATCTACCTAAGCCCTTTGAACATGCGAAAAATGATGTCAGATCCCACTGTATTTACCAATTTGAATGTACGTGTGGACACACATAGAATGGAGGACTCATCGATCTCTGCAAGTAAGCACTAGCTTCACAGCATATTCCTAAATGGCTCCAGAAGCAAATGGAATCTTCAGAACCTATTAATGGTGAGAACAGGAGACCTAGCTCTTCTATTGCGCAACATATTATAGAGACAGGACATAAAATTGACGCTAACAGATCTTTTAAACCTATCTATAAAACGTGTTTAGGGCGTATCCTGAAGTTTGTGGAAGCCCTAGCAATTAGAAAGTTTAAGCCACCTTTACGAGTTCATCAAAAACAATTCGTCATCACATTAAACCTTCCTTAGTGAATTTTGTTTTCATACCAACCAGAGTGGGATGTACTGTTACCTCTGTTATTTGGTTAAGTGGTCTTCATTGTTACTTTGACCTTGAATATGTCCTTTTAACTTGACCTAAGTAGTCTATTTTCTCACCTCTTACCTCTTTATTAATTTCACATATACACATTCCTATGACAAGTCAGTGTGTGTGTGTGATCAGATTGTTCGAGATGTGTTGCGCAAATACACATTACACACGAATCAGACAAATTACGTCTTCTTATTGCTTTGTCTAAATTCATAAAGGGAACTAATTGTTACAATACATTCCTTGTAAAACATTTGTTTATCGACTTAGTACAGAGTATTGATTTCAACTGCCAAAGAATACAACTTCTTCTCGTTTCTTGTGTTCTTTGGAGTTAAAGTCAATATTGTACTCAGTATAATTGTCGATTCGGAGCGTATTCGGAAATAATAGGAACTTAACCCTAAGTTCCTTGACAATTGTTGAGTCTGAAACTTCAGATACCATGGAGGATAGTCAAGCTAACCCCCCCCCCTATGATTATCATTGGAAGAATTGTCTCCCCCAGTCTAACTGGACTAATCTCTGATTCCCAGATGTTGCCTAACACCTTAGTTAGCCAAAACAGCAATCTGCCACCACTGTCCTTAGAACAACTATGAAGTCATTCCATCAGGTCCTGGCTGTTTTACTGCGATTCAAATTACAGACAGACTTTATATAATCTCAGTTACAAACGGAGAATTGGTGTGTCTACATCCCCCTCAGGAAGGTGTCGGATGGTAGGCTAGTTGAGCATGGTGCTTCTTTGTAAGTACTGAATACATAGATATTACCTGATAACATCTCAAACAACATTTCTATCTTACCTCAGTGATACAAACCTCTTTCATTGAACATAGACGATCAACAAAAGGAATACCACGTGCACCACCATCGAATCGTTTCGATGATGGTACAGTTGCTAAAAGAACAACTTTTGATCGCCTTTCCCTGATTGATTGATTATTATTAGTCGTTTTTTTACTCAAGCTGAGAATGGATGAAATCAGTTGTTCAATTAAAGCAGTGAATTTTGTTGAGCACAACTCCATTTTACCAATTTCATCAATAATAATACACACTGTTGAATCGGCATCATGTTGTTGTTGTTGCTGTTGTTGTTGTTGTCGTTCTGTGTTGATGATATTTGAAGATAAATTGTCTAACTTCTTCATAATTGACTGCATTGAAAAAAACGAGAGAGAAAAAAAGAGATTGAGATAAAGACTCTAGTTTAAACGATGTTTTTTTTCAATAAAGAAAAGATTGACTACAAGATAGAACTGGTTCAATACACGCTCTCTATCTCACTACTTCATCGACTTTGAAAAGGCCTTCGATAGAGCAGAGTCGATCGACAGGTGCTTTGGCAACTACTTCGCTACTACCAAGGGGTGCCACCGACAATTATACATCTCATCCAACAGCTGTACAACAATGCTGCTACATGCCAAGTAATCCACACAAAGGGAAACTTACGGAATCCTTCGAAGTGAGGACAGGAGTAAGACAAGCTGGCTGGCTGCCTACTATCGCCAATGATTTTCCTGATTGCGACAAACAGTGGGCAATGAGGAAACAGGCATAAAATGGACACACACAAAAAACTTGGAGGATCTGGACTTCGCCAATGTGATATATGTCTGATTTCCCACTAACTGGAAGATATGCAAGCAAAAAGCAACAAGTTGGCGACAGAAGAAGCATCAAAGATAGGACTTCATGTGAACATAGAGAAAACAGAGGTGATGAAGATTCCTGGCCAACTCCACCAACAGCAATAACAACAACAACAGACAACGATCAGCATAAATGGAAGGAATCTGAAAGAAACAACCTCTTTTACCTACCGACCTGTGAAGCATCGTTTCAACTACAGGCGGAACTGACGAGGATATCAAAGCAAGAATCGGAAAAGCAAGACAAGCTTTCACTACTCTCAAGTCTGTGTGGAGGTCAACAGCACTCAGTATCAAAAATAAGATCCGGATTTTCAACTCCAAATGAAGTCAGTGCTGCTATATGGATCAGAGACTTGGCCAGAGCATCATAAAGAGCATCTCAAACAAACTACAGACCTTCATTAACAGTTGTCTACGCTCAATACTCAAGATCAGATGGCCGGCCAGAAAAGATCAGCAACAGAGATCTCTGGCAATCAGCGAACCAACCCAGCAGGAACCGATTGTGAAACAAATAGGCAGGAAGAAATGGAGATGGATTGGCTGGCCATACTCTGAGGAAACCATCAAGTGACATCACTAGACAAGCCATTGCTCGAGTGGAACCCAAAAGGGAAGCGACGAGTTGGTCGTCAGTGCAAGGGTGACTTGGAGGTCATGTGAAGAGATGAAAACGTGTGGGCAGACATGGAGCCAGGTGAAGATTCTAGCAGAGAACCGAACGCAATGGAGACGCACGGCTGAAGCCCTATGTTCCTGTAGGAATTAAAGGAAACAATAATAATAATAATAATTAACGACCAGTCTTATCAATTCACTTCCCTTCGTCGTTACCTAGTACTCTATGCGTAACCTCATCAATAATGAAAAAGGGGATTAGTCCTCAAACATCTGCAGTTTCCAGTGGTTCACCAAGTTGACTCGACTTATACCGTAATCTGCCATAAAAAGGTTAGTTCTCATGAATACCTAGTATAAATATCCACACTCTCTACTACTGTGGTGAGAGCCGTCTGCTAGCCAAAATTGTAGACACCAATTTACGTCAATGTTTACATCCCAAATCGGGGTCACGAGATAAAACAATAACAAAGCTTAACCTTGAGGAACTCAACAACCAATCACAGCAGACTTAACGTATGCAAATACGATTCACAGATATATGGTCTGACCTTGAAAGAAACGGCCACAAAGAGATGACAGAATAACTTTCAGCGAGAAAACAACCAATCAGAAGACGCTGCTTCTCCGCTAGTAATAACGAATAATAATGTACATAAAAATCTATAAATATCTGTTGATTTTCTCAATAAACAATCTGTTGCCTGGCCCTTGTCTTCTGTCGTTACACTACTACTAATACCACAATATATCATCTAATGAACTAACCTGTAAACAAGGAACAGCTAAACTCTCAAACGACGGTATATCTACGCTGTACTGACCAACACGAGGTAATCTACGTTGATTTGATTCATCAGCTGCCGTCGTCGCCAGACGTGCCAATGAAGCTCGAGGATATCTTCGAGATGAGTCAAGCAATACTATGTCAAATCCTAGACGAGTTGATCTTCCACCAGAATACGATGTTTGACGAACTTCTTCTGTTTTGAAGCCTACGACATGAATTCCTGACTTTTTAGAGAGTTCATCGAAGACACGAGAGATTAAAGTGGTTTTTCCAATACCTAAACGGTGGGGAGAGGGAAAATTAAATTTTATTTACAATACATAAAAAACACAATAGAAAACTGTTAATTATCAAAACGAATATTTTATGATAGCCAAGGAAATCAGTAGCCTGGGATCTTATCGACAGTCGTCTTCCAGTGGTCCGAGATATTTTGTATCCAGTCGTGAGTCTTTCATCATCATCATCATCATCAGGTCTAGCGGATTCGTCGACATTTACTTCACTAGTAAGCGATGTAGTTACCTCGTCAAGGAATTACTAGCTGATATAGGTGCAGGCTGGAAAAGAGTAAGTGGTGGCCAAACAAAAACATGGCATTAATCAATCCATGAAATCCTTGACATTTAAACTGAGTCAGGTTGGGAGATGCAGACTTCCGGGTTGGGGCCCACCCTCGGGACTCTAAGAATCAATGGCTGGAGACACCAGGTGAAATGGCTCAAAATCGTTGTCAATGGCTTACGCAGATGTATTCAGTCTCTGTAATCTTTATTGATATTCCTTTCTACCATTACTCATTCTGTTTCACTCTTATACTTGTCAAAACTATTATTGATTCTCTTTACTCATTTTTTTGTCTACCACCTTTGTGTGCTATTTGGAACGTGGCAACTCGAAGTGCTGCACTTCGGTGCCAAGTTCTATGTTGAATCCAGACAGAAACAGACAGACGTCAAACAATGAAACACCGACAATTAAATATAAAAGGTTGGCAAACACCCAACAATCCCCACAATCAATGGGGTCAAAGTTAAACGATAGCAATCCATGGAATGTGAACGTACGATTAACCTTGTAGCGACCAATTATCAGAAAACCCATTATTGATTTTTACATTAAAAAAGATTTTCAAGAGTTGGTTTGTAAGGATTAGATTTGTTTTTACGAGTTGACCACGGATTGATATCAGTTAGAGAACCACTGAAAACCAGGGAGTACTGGACAGTTGTTTCATCTTAGTTTGGGAATCATCGGCAGTACTCACCCACCTATCAGGGTTCGAACCCAGGACCTTCCGGTTACAGGGCAAGCTCGTATACCATTCAGTCACTGTGACCCGATTCAATGGCCAGTCCATGAATTCTAACTGAATGGTATACGAGCTTGCTGGCCTTGTGACCGGAAGGTCCTGGGTTCGACTCCCTGTGGTGGGTGAGTACTGCCGATGATTCCCAGACTAGGACAAAACAACTGTCCAGTACTCCCTGGTTTTCAACGGTTCTCTAACTGATATTTATTTACAAGACAGGTACAGAGAATAGCTGATATTTTTCACCCAACGTGACTTTTTGTGACCGATTTATCGCTCTTATCCTGTAGTTTTCAGTCTCCTTCAAAAACCCTTAGTAGAATTGGTATGGATTCCAGTAGGGGTATGGATAAAATCTCCTGAATGATTCACTTGATGATGGATGAAATCTAAATCTCATAACCGTCTGTATCCCGCCTATTCGTCTGTATGAAGAAGGAATGACCAACCCTTGTGTAATAGGTTGAAGAATCTCTTCACAACAATTGGGAATCGCTTCCACAATTCCTTTATGAATTGCTGTGTTGTAAATTCCCAAAGTCCAAAGATTATTCTTTCTAGGGCAGCCACGACTATATTTCTTGTTTATCAGTATGAATAATAACACTTATTCCTTCCAACAGCTGCGTGAGACAGTATCCATCTTCCAAGATGCTATACCTCTGCAGTGGTGGTACCATTTTACAGTGGACACCAACGAATTCTCCCTCTGTGTGGCCGTCAATCTCACACGCAGACTTTAATACGCAATAATGGCAGACAAAAAGTTCTATCTGTCAGCAACAGCTTCGAATTATGAAGGGAAGTTCCTAGAAATGAATTAACTGAGTGTGTAACTTACCATTCCGACAACTAATTCATTTCCTATACAGTGTACAACACTTCAATACATGTCGATCAGTAGCTTCTGAACAAACACCGCTGGATGTGCACAGAAGAAGCATCACAAGAACATTCACGACGTCATGGGAACAAGTCACCAGCCTAAACAATGCTTAGAAACAAGATCCGGATGAAATTTGAACCTCAATTAGTGAATAGCGCTCATAGTGGGTGGCGCTATAATAATGGTAGGTCCCGTTATCTAACGACTAGAGTATCCAAGTAATGGTTTGTAGGAATTTGGTTGATTGGTTACAGGATTTCATCATGAGCTGACATTGGGTTTGAAACCCTGTGGGTGCGTACTGATGAAGAGTCCCAAACTAGGACGAAACAGCTGTCCAGTACTCCTAGGTTTTCCAATGGTTCTCTAACCGATGTCAGCTCATGATGAAATCCTGTAATCAATCAATCAAATCCCTACACAATTACTTGAATTTAAGCATACAATAGCCAGTAAAGGCAAATTGGAATCATATCAGAAAGTGTATTGTGGAACAAGTATAAGATGGGATGGAACAATAGTCGGTCTGGTTTGCATAAACTGAAACTCACACTACAATACCTACAGACAGGGTAAAGGTGGATACCGTAGACAAGAAACCTTTGTATCTTAAGTTAAGTTACAAAGGGGAAATTGCAGCTGACATTCTAAAATGTCGACTTAATAGAGCAGTAGATAGAACATTTCCTGCAGCTAAACTGGTACTCAACTTCTCAACTAAACCAGTACCCACACAGCAAGTAAAGGATAAATTACCAAAGATGGCCTCATCAATGTGTATCTATGAATTCAACTGCTCATGTGGAGCTAGTTACATTGGCCGTACTCAGAGGGCTTTATCCATGTGCGCGCGTGAACATGTACCTGTATGGTTGAGTAACGGAATAACCAAATGTGTAAATAGTGCAGTCTTAGCCCACTTGGTAGATACGGGACACCCGATAAAACTTGACCAGGCGTTGTCAGTTATTTACCGCGTTCCTAGTAATTTATCTAGAGGAGCTCGAGTATGTCTTCTATCAGTAGCTGAAGCGGTGGCAATTAATACCAGAAGACCATCTCTTTGCATACAGAAGAAGTATGTTCAACCACTATGTTTACCTTGGCTTACAATAAAGTCAACAAATCTTCCATTAACACTTTAAATTCCTTTCACAATTTTCTTTTCTTCTTCTTCTATTCCTCTGTTTCATTGACAATCGTTCATTTTCGACCTTTATGATTTCATGACCTTTCTTATGATTTTATTACCTTGCTATCGTATTTACAAAATCCTATTCATTCCACTTCATTATATTCATTATTATTATTTGACAATCACTCACCAATAGTGCTTGTAATTTTACACCATATCATCGTTATTATTTTACAATCATTCTTACTGTCGTTATTTTCAACCTTGAACTTATGTCTAGTCCGCCCCATTCGTTGATTTATTTTCATACTGTCTCACACACCCTGATTACACACACTCGAAAAACCTGTATTTTCTGTTGACTATTTATATATACACACACACATCATTAAATTAAATTACTTCATCTCATTTTGTCCCATGTTCTCATTGACCATGCATATTAAAAAACTATATGACTATTGTTCCATCCCATCTTATATTTGTTCCACAATACACTTTCTGATATGATTCTAATTTGCCTTTACTGGCTATTGTATGCTTAAATTAATGGATTTATAATTTTAGAACAAGACATATAAGCGAACAATATTGTTTTCAGTTAGATCTTCTTCAGGCTTTACTCTAATTTACATAGATTTATATATAAAATTTTAACCAATGACGGTGATTTTGGGAATCAAATGATAATCTTAATAGTCTTAATAATAATAATAATGTGGTAAATGTTTTGAACGTAGTTAATAACGATGATTATAATGATAACAAAATATTGATAATAAGGTTTATGCAGGTGATAAGAATAACAAAGATAGTATGTGTGTATAAGTGTATAAATAAATTGGGTCAAATCTTAAAAGGTGAATTGGAACGATAATCAGAGTTTAAATAAATATTATAAAAGTACAAAGGAGGTGGAAAATAAGAAAGGGTGGGAGGGTTTTGAATACAATTCACCTAGGCCAAGGGAGAGACAAAGGTAGAACAAACTTCTTTTGTATGCAAAGACTAGGATTGTTCTCTCGAATTCCCATAGCTTCGGCTAGGTGTAAAAGACGGTTTCTGATTCCATTCGAAAGACTCGATGGAATACGATAGATAACTTTGAAAGCACTATTTTTGTCCACTTGGTGACCGCTATAATTGTAGAGCCTGAAGAAGAATTTATTGAAAACAATTGTTCGCTCTAAATATTTTGTTCTGAATAAATTATGGGAATATTCAATTACTTGAACATCAATGAAATGCTGACTACCGACTACCGACTGGCTCTATTCGGGTAGGTATTTACCTGGGTTCTAGTGGGAAGTCTTGACCAGTAGGGTGCAGCAGGCGGGGTGTGAAGACAAGTACTCGCCACGGATGACATTGGTTAGCGGTTGCGCTATGTCGTGAATTGGCAGAAGTTGGAATTCATGAGGTGGCCACTGGATCGGGTCCCAGTGGCTTAATAGTCTACGAGCTCGCTAGCCTTGTAACCAGGTCCTGGGTTCGAACCCTATGGTGGGTGCGCGCTGATGAAGAGTCCTAAACTGGGACGAAAGAGCGGTACAGTACTTTCAGGTTTTCCAATGGTTATCTAACCGATGTCAGCTCATGATGAAATCCTGTGACTAGAGCATCTGTTCTAAGTCATTGGTGCAGCTGCACTTCAACTTGGCCAAAACAGGTTCACATAATATGTTCATGGAAAATACTCATATTGTGCGAAATGAAGTAGCTAAATATCTGTGGAATTCTATATAGAACCACACTTGACAACTCACACACGCATATATCAAGAGATACATTGGAAGAAAAGGTACGAATTTCCACAAACTTCATCATACCTATTTCCAGAAACAGTATGAAACTTCAAGAAGTCGAATCGTAACAACAGAATGAAAGAACTGTCTTCAGGACATATTGTTCAGTTTTAACACTCAAAATACACCCAAGATAAATTAACATTACAGTATCCGACAATATTTGCTACCTTGTCGAGGTGGTCCAGTATGCACACCAAAATGACCCGATAAGATATACTGGTTGAGACGAATGGTCCTACAGCTTCTACAATGTTAGAAAAGACATTTAGATACCAATCAGACTAAAACCGGCAAACCACAACAGTTTAAGTCGTCTACACTGTGTTGGGGAGCCCTCAACTTGTGAAGTGGTAACTACTAACAAACAGAGGTGTAACAGCCTCAAAGTGCTACCACCCTTGGTCGATTCGAAAATACAAACATCCCAATATACCCTACGACAGTTAGTAAACAGCAGTAATGTCGTCATCAGAATTGACCTGACATGCTGACCACCGGACTCTGGGTTCACATACCACTGAAACTATTTTCTGTTCCAGGTTGTATACAGTTTGACACTTACATCCGAAGGGAATATAGCAGTTCCGTGCTGCTATGGAACCGGGATCCAGTGGAGACCCCCTGCTAGTTAGTAATGACGCTGAAGTAATAATTGCAAGCAATACACTTTTATTTTTCGTCTCACTGTTCAACTGAATCTCCTAATGCCTTTCCACACTTTTCTTCGACACTTATTCTGTTACGTTACTTTATTTATTAATTATTTCCAAGATCTTTTAGTTTCATACAATGATTCCCTTTTATAAATTTGAAAAAAAGAAAGAAGAAACATTGGCGCGCAGAATAATCTGGATCCATTTTATTTCGTCGGTTCTCATCAGCTGCGTACAACCTGAATTTTTTTTAATTAAAAATAAGAAGTGTACAATTTTAACAAACTTTTGTCCATTAGCAAGCATATTGTCAGAGCGTCATAGTGAAATAAGGCGTTGCGATTTACAAGGTGTCTAAAGTGTTACGACATACATTATATATCTTGTTAGAGAGAAGTTTCTTGAAAAAAATTAATTAACAGTTGTGTTGTTGGGGTGGTAACAAAAGAAAATTAGTAATAGTTACGTAATTGGATAAGAGAAGATCTAAATTTCGGTGCACATGAGGTCAGATGAGAAGTTGACGATGTAATACAGTGAGCAGAACTCAGAAGATCAAGAAAAAGAAAGAAAATGGTTACCCACAAAGTTTCATTAACAAATATGACAAGAATGAACTCAAGAAGCTTGATACAGCTACAGCCAGTAAGAAGCCTATTTTCAGCAAACTCGACTACAAGGGCGACGACATTATGAGAGAATGGTAAATAAAAGATTAAGCGCAGCCCTGTCTAGGACGTATCCTGCAGCATTATTAGTTTCTCTACCCCGAACAACCTCGTCACTGGTGCAGTCAAAGATTGACAAGTACCCCTCACATGTTACCTCCAACTATGTATACCAATTCACATGTACCAAGAAGCCTCCGGTTAAAGGGACCGAATTGTTTAAGCTCTTCAATCGCCAAACACGTGATTGACACAGCACACCCAGTAGATGTGCTGGAATCATTCAAAATAATTAACAGACAAAGTACCTCAAGTCTTCCGAAGCTATAGCAATAAAGCGATTGAGGCCTGACTTATGTGTTCAAAAAGAATCCGTTGTTGAACTTCAATTACCCTGGTGACTCACTTCTTAGTAACTCTTTGTTTTCTAATTTTGTTAACTTATCTTTTCACTACCCCTCCCCCCACCTTTATTTTTCGCTTGACTCTCTTAAGAGATAATTTTTCTTGATCTTCTGAGTTCTGCTCACTGTATTACATCATCAACTTCTCATCTGACCTCATGTACACCGAAATTGAGATCTCTTATCTAATTACGTAACTATTACTAATTTTCTTTTGTTACCACCCCAACAACACAACCGACGAAATAAAGTGGATCCAGACTATTCTGCGCCAATGTTTCTTCTTTCTTTGTTCAAATCTTTTAGTTTACTTATCTGTCAAACTGCTGTGTCAATTGCAATCAAGCTACTGAAGCCTGAAGAGGTAGGAGGACCAGATGGGATTCCCCCTGAAGCCCTGAAAATGGATCTAGAGACTTCAGTGGATATTCTTACGCTAGTATTGCAAAAGTTTGGGAGTGAAGGTACCTACTGATTGGAAGAAAGGCTACCTTATTAAACTACAAAAGAAGGGCGACTTCAGTCTCTGTTCTTCTCCACTTCATCGACTTTGAGAAGGCTTTTGACAACGCTGACACCGAGAAGCAATTTGGAAACGATTTCAACACCATGAAGTATCTCGAAATCGTTATCAATCTCACTGAACAACAATATAACAGACAAAACGACATGTCAAGTGATTCACAACGGAAAAGTCAGCGAAGAAACCTTCGAATTGAATACAAGAGTAAGACAAAGCTGCTTAATATCCCTAACGATATTTCTCTAATTGTGGTGGACTGGATTAAGCGGAACACTGTGTGCGTGGGGAACCAGAAGACAAGAATATGTTGGACCGACAATACTGTAGAACACCTGGGCTTCGCGGACAACTTATATCTAATATCACATGAATTCGAAGACCAACAGAGGCAAAAGCCAACAAGTTGAAAGAAGAGATAGGCAGCAAAGACAGGACTTCAAATGAACATACAGAGGATGGTGGTGATAAAGATAACCAACCAGCACCAATCACTATCAACCGAATAAATTCGAAAGGCGTCACTTACTTCAATTATCTAGGAGGCATCTTATCAACTGCAAGCAAACCACACAAATGAGGATGTTAAAACGAGAACTGGAAAGGCAAGACAGTTTGGAGAACCTCTGCACTCGTAGAATAAAAGATAAATTTCGAATTTTCAACACCAATGTTAAGTCAGTCACTTCTTTTATATGGGTAAGAGACAAGGAGTGTTACTAAAAGCATTTCAACAGGCCTTCATCAACAGCTGCCTCCACATCGCTAGCTCCATACTGAAGATCTAATGGCTAGGCAACCCCACAAAGAATTATCAACAAGAAACTCTTGGAACAAACCAATCAAAAACCTTTCGCTCAACAAAAAATTGAGATGGACCGCACACAGGTTGAGCAGATCGTCGAGTGACATCGCGCCATCGCCAGGCCACCGCTAGATTGGAACCCGAATGGTAAACGACGAGTGAGATGTTTGAGGGTGACACCGAGGAGATGATAGCCTTACGAACAATTGTCGGGCCGGTTGAAGAGGGCTGCAGAAAACAGGACGAAATCATGGTGTTCTGTTGAAGTCCTATGTTCCACAATGGAACAATAATTATAGCGAATATATAAAATAATGAATTTTCAATACTATGAATAGTTGTCAGTTATAACATGAGCAGGAAAAGACAAACACTTCTCACATACCTGGTTTGCCTGTAATTAGCAGAATATTTGACGATGACATTGGGATGATAACAGGTTTTATGAAAGTCGGTTGTCAGTGGAGCACAGTAATGAACCCCGGCGGACAATTAAAGCTCGAAGAGAAGCTAAAAAATAAAATAAAAAAATCAATATGACAACACAAAAAGGTTAGATAAGGCAGGATTCGAGACAGTTGTTTCTGTTGTAAAATTTAGAAGAGAAGGTAGTCCCGTTGAGTTTTTAATATTCAGTCATGTGAGCACAAAGTCTTTTTGATAATTTCTTCTACTCCTAATTGATGAGATAAAAGATAGTTTATGTTAAGATATTGAAGACAATTCAAATACTGAAAAGGCGACGTTTTTACTGATGAGTGTATTTCTTCTCTTACTGTGTTGCTCAAGGAATTGCAATTCTATGCCAGAGGGAATAAACTAACGATACTACCACCCGACTGACTGTCCAAACGATGCCAGTCAGGTGGAGTTAGGTTAAAGCGCCTAACTGAACTACAGCAACAGCTCTTCACATTACTGCACATAGATGTATTGAAGACAAATGAATATAGCCTGAGACTATCATAATGCAAATGATTTGTAGCTCAGGTGGATGATATTGATTAGTTGTGTTTTCTGAGCTGGTTGGTTGATTTAAATTGCGAAGCTTTCATCATCCTTGTAGACCATTCCTTTGTCTCACACCTCTGTTTACTGTCTATATGATGCATTTCTTTTACTTTCTTCTCTTGCTTTGTGTGCTACATGGAGTGTGGCGACTTGGACTGCCGCATATCGGTGCAAAGTTCTATGTCGAAAACAGATAGACAGACATCCTTGTGGACAACATTCCCTTTTTAACTCAGGTTTTGGTATTAGATGAACTCATCCGAATTCTCTTTCGATGATGGAATTGTATCTCCTGGCAACCTAGGTCCAAGACTTGCTGCCGATTGCCTCCAACCATCTAATAATGTTGACGTTGTACCCTTTTAGTGCAAATATGACTGACTGACTGACTGACTGACTGACTGACTGACTGACTGACTGACTGACTGACTGACTGACTGACTGACTGACTGACTGACTGACTGACTGACTGACTGACTGGTTTCAGCATAGAACTTTGCACCGATGTGCAGCAGATCGAGTCGCCATACTTTGCTTAGCACACAAAGCAAGAGAAGAAAGTAGAAGAAATGCAAAACTAAGACAGTCAACAAAGATATGAGGCAGAACAAATAATGCAAATATACTTGTTTCCTGTTATGTAAAGCCATAAAACCATAATTCTACTAAGAATGAAACCCAAAATGTGTATACGTTATGTGGATGTCACGTTTGTGATAATTAGAAGAAACGATTTGAAAAACACTCACTACTTAATCAACAATGAGATGTTTGGTGATATCAAATTTGCAAAAGGAGAGGAATAAAAGAACAAAATTTCATGCCTACACGCATTAGGGGGAATAAGCACAGGAAAACTAAGAACCCAAGTATACACAGAAAGTAACTCATACAGATCGAATACCCAATTAAAAAACAGCACACAAAAGGAGTGGCATATAAATACTATTCACAAGAGCCAAGACACATTGCAGCGCGCCTGCCTTCAGTAGAATAGAAGAGAAATACCTTTAGAGCGCCTTGCAAAATAAAAATGGATATCCACAAGATTTCATCAAAAGACGGTTATTCTCAATCCAGCCAACCAAGTCAAAAGTATCCAGTGATGGTCGGTCGGTTTTCGACATAGAACTTTGCACATATGTGAGGCAGTTCAAGTCGCCACACTCCATGTAGCACACAAAGCAAGAGAAGAAAGTAGGAGAAATGCATAATAGAGACAGTAAATAGAGGTGTGAGACAAAGGAATAGTAATAACGAAGAGCAAAACAGTTTCATTGGAAATCACAAGGAGTGGATGCATCTGCGCCACTGAGAACGATTTTGAGCCATGTCACCAATTGTTTCCAACCATTGGTTTTTACCGTACCGAGGACCCCAACCAGGAAGTCTACATCTTCCTACGTGGCTTAGACTAACTGTTGTGGATTTCATTGACTGGTGCCATGTTTTCCAGTCTGGCCCTATATCAGCTAACATTGCCCGTCGAGGAAGGCGATGACAAGGCGTACGTAGCACATGTCCTAACCATCTCAGTCGATGTAATTTCAGTCTCGTCGACTGATTTTCCCGCCTTACCTAGTATTTGCTGACTAACCTCAATATTGCTCACCTTATCATACCACTTCACGCGGGAGATGGAACGCAGACACCTATGATCGAAGACAGCTAATCTTTTCATGTCTTCTGCTCTCAATGGCCAGGTCTCACGCTTCTCGGCTCTCTGAGCTAAGATCATCCAGTGATGGAGCTAAGGAAACTGCCCTAACACATATGAAGAACATCTCCGAAATAACTACAAGATTATTGAAACCTTTTGGAATAGATGTCACACACACAAACCAATAAAATTCACTTCAATCGCTTATATGTCAACCATAAGACGCAGCAGCAATTGAAAGACAAACATCACCTTCAAGAGAAATTGCAGCCACTGTGAAATACATTTTATAATTCGAAGTGAAAGCTTTCTTTGTCTACGCACCTATGAATATTAAACTAGGCGTCAATAGAAGGCATGATATCCCTTCCCTCATATCGTTGCATGCAGACAACTTGAAAAAGGAAACATTAAAAGTGCCATGGGGATTTCTAGAAGCTTGGTATTCAGACAACTATACAGCCAACAGATACATTGAAATGGACTAAATTTATTAATCAAAAAGAAAGAAGTCATATGGACAAAAGTCCAGCAAAAACAATTAATCTAAATACAAGTGAATTTAAGGGTGATAATGCCCAGAGACAACCAATCACGTTCAAAGTTACCAGCACAGGTGGCTGATAAACTCGTGAAGAATTCTAAAAGCTCAGCTGCAAATTGTAGTACGCACTGAGGAAAGACAATGAAAGCCTCACAATTGAGTCATCCACACTTCAGAGAACGAAACTACACCAAATTCACCAGCCGGAACCAATGCCAAGGTGATTGTACGGCACGATTGGGATTGTTAGTTGAGAAAAATGTATGGTAGTTGGGAAAAATGGAGAGCAGGATGGTATTCAGAAATGGGGACTTCCCTTTTAGGAATAAAGGAAACCTCCGTAATCAACTACACTCTGTACATCATCGAGGACGACCTAGTTTTGAGAATGTCTGTAGATATGATTAAAGACTTGACATTAGATTCATTGCATGCATATTGTATTTCTAGGTGTAGTGAAAAAGTTGATCATACTTTAGAAAAAACGCTTAAATTTGAGATCAATGCACACTGTAGAGGAAAAGACTTTAAGATATTTCAGAAGCAGAGGCTTACTTGAGGATCGTGGTTACAAGACCATTTAACGTCAACATTTCTTGCTGCATTTAGGACTTGTTAGTTATACTGAGAGACAACTCCACCATGTATACACACTAACTTTCACCATCTTAGTTTACCACTGTGTATGCTTTGACCAACAGTAAATTATATCGTTACTCCATAGATGGTGAGTCATCAACGGGAGGGATTTGAAAGAGGTTACTTTATTCACTTATCTAGGGAGCATTGTCTCAACTACAGGAGGAACGGACGAGGATGTCAAATCGAGAATCGGGAAGGGGAGAAACACATTCATCTACCTGAAACCAATCTGGAAATCTTCATCGCTCAGCATCAACAACAAAATCCGGATTTTCAATACAAACGTCAAGTCAGTTCTTCTATACGTACGGATCAGAAACTTGGCGGGTCACAAAGAATATTTCCAACAGCCTGTTGCAGACCTTTATCAACAACTGTCTTCTTCGCTCTATACTCAAGATCAGATGGCCGCCAGAAAGAATCACCAACAAGAAACTATGGGAACAAACGAAACAAAAACCAATCGCCCAACAAATATGCAGGAGAAAGTGGAGATAGATTGGACACTCGTTGAGGAGGCCGCTGGGTGACATCGCGCGTCAGCCCATTGCTCGAGTGGAACCCGAAAAGGAAGCGGCGAGTGGGACGTGTAGGGGTGACATGGAGGATATCGAGTGAGGAGGAGTTGGAACAGTATGAACTAACATGGATGCAGGTGAAAAGTACAGCAGAAGACAGAAGCGAGTAGAGACGTGCAGTTGAAGCCCTATGTTCCACTAGGAACCCAAGGGAACAATAATAATAATAGATGGTGAGTGCTAAAAAAGAGTTTGCTAACTTCATGCTACAGTATGAGGAAATTTACTGAACGCAACGATTAGTTTATGACATATAATTTCTGGCTGAAAAACTCATGAAGAATTCTAAGAGCTCACTTCAAATTGAAGTATGCACTGAGAATGTTGTCCCGACATATTCCTTACTTTTTTCCGAAAATTAATAGGAAGACGGCAACGATCGAAGTTCATTGCTTCTGTAAGTACTTACTTACAAATCCAGCTGGATCTAAAAAGTGGTACAATAAGTGCCACTAATGGCACTAACAGATCCCTGCTGGCAATTATCAGAGTCATTTTAAGATATTAGAATATATGCAGGTGGTTTTAAAAAAGAGAAACTAAGTAGCAGAATGTATACAAAATGAAAATATCAAAAGACAAAAAATAATGATGCTTACCACGTCAAAATGCAGGTCACGTGCACTGAACGTGTACCAGATTGAGTTCAAAATGGGTAATATGCATAGATCCCTGGCGGTTTGAATGTTAATAGACCGGAAAGTCTTTCGATACGTCGTGCTCACTAATTTATTGCGTACAACATGACGCCGATTCCACAATGTGCTAATCGCTGTGTATGGGCAAATACAGATGACTCTAAACTGTAGCAGGACAAAACGAAACAACCTAATAAAGACCTTGACATATCTGTAGTGTACATTGTACCTTCGAACTTTTGTTCCAATATCCAATATCAATTTTACGAGCTAGTATAAACCAATTTGATTTCTTTGTGCTCGCCTCTTGATTGTGAGGTAGAGGTTCCTGATCTTTGGTAAACGTCTGTGTAGCTCGTCCAGCCACTCGACTGTCGTAGCTTTGTGGTGGACCTTTTGCTCTGTTAGCTTATTTACCCAAAATTCAAATAGAAAACAAAATACTAAATCAATTGAGTTTACAAAGATCCAAATTCCACAATTAACGTACTGGATTCCAGAAGTGCTGCGGGAAGACTGCTCCAGTTCTAATTCTCCAGTGTTGACGTTGCCGGAGGTCGACCAAAGTGCGTAGGAAGAGGCTACGGTGTTCCTGCGAAAATTCGAGATAGAAAGCAGGTTGTTATAATTGATCGACGGCAGTTGAGATGGTGAAGAAGACGGAGAGTCGAAGGCAAAATTATATATCTTTTTTAAAACTCGAGGGAAGTTCAAAGTACAGAGAGTTTTTGGTTAAAACAAAGTAGTGTACAATATGTTCATTTTTTTACATAATAGTAAAATTTGGATAAGTTTATTTTTGAGGACTCCACAGCTTTGGTTGACTCCAACAGGAGTAGTGCTGGGGTTAATTATATGGGGTTTGTAGTATGAAGTGTGTTAAGACTGTTACTACTGTGAATGGAGTTGATCCTTTCACCAGTTAGTCTTTCGGTATCGTCGTCAATGGAAAAGAGATAATAATAATAATAGATATATATATACCAGTAATAATGATAATAATAATAATAGGTGTAGTTAAAGCTTTCAGGAGAGTAAGACTGAAGGGAATGTGAAGAAGTAAAACGACCAGTTTAATTGTCTACCTTTGAATGGTATATGCGATTTTAAGGGGATAGGCCATTTGGATGAAGTCCTTGTGTCGCTGCATGGTTGTCCAGCCTTCGCTTAAAGGCGTCCACAGATGGTGCCATAGCTACATCTACCGGTAAGGAATTCCAGGGGCGGCAAACCCGCAGGGAATAGAAGTGGGAGCGCACTTGGGTCCTTGGCCTCTGATGACCTATCCTTCTAGGATCTCTACGAGGAAGCCTATACCTACTCAATGGCAGAACACCTTTGTTTGGGTGATTCTGATCATTTGTTATTTTGTAGGCAGTAATTAAATCCCCCTCAGGCGACGGTAACTGGGTGTGAATAGGCCTAATTTCTTCAGCCTTTCGTCATATGGTTTATTTCGGAGACCAACCACTCCTTTTGTTGCCCGTCGTTGGACTCTTTCCAAGAGGTTGGCGTCCCTTTTAAGCAGTGGGGGTGCAATGATATTATGCACTTCAAGATGCGGTCTGACGTATGTTTTATACAACCTTAGAAAGAGCTCAGGAGTGAGTGCACCTAATTGTCTATGTGTAAAGTGTATGACCGCATATGCCCTCGCTACATCCCCCGTTTAATTTACGCTTGTGTCCATTTTCTCCGTTAGAACTAGACCTAAGTCATGTTCCGACGTTGAGCAGGACAAGCTTTCATTGCACAGGGTGTAACTTGCATTCTGCAGTCTACAGGTGCGTAACTTCACTACTTTGCACTTTTTCAGGTTGAAAGTCATGCCACTGGTTACCGCCCAGTCTTCCAGAAGCCTTAGATCTGCCTGCAGTCTATCTGAGTCCTCCGGACACTTTATCGCCCTCCATATCTTTACGTCATCAGCGTATAGAAGAGTCGGGCAGCTTAGACGGCATGGTAAATCATTGATAAAAATCAAGAACATCAGTGGTCTCAGGATAGAACCCTGCGACACTCCTGATGACGAGCTGTGCCAAGATGATCGGACTCGATTGACCTTGGTGCAAAATTGCCTTTCAGTTAGGTAGCCCTTCAACCATGACAGAAGTGGTTTACCTAGACCTACCTGGCTTATTTTGTGTAGGAGAAGGTTATGGTGAACAGTGTCAAATGCCTTCTCAAAGTCTAGAAAGATCACATGGACAGGAACATTCATATCCCAGCATGATGTCCAGTCGTCCCAAGCTGATAATAAGTTAGTGACGCAGGACCTTCCTTTCCTGAAACCGTGTTGGGTTTCATGGAGTATTTTAGACCTATCCAGATATTCCCTGATGTGATCATCAATAATACTTTCCAGTACTTTTGATACCACTGGGAGTAGAGCTACTGGTCTATAACTGGGGGGATTTCGCCTATCCCCACCCTTGAAGATCGGAGAAAGGATGCTTCTTTTCCATTCCTTTGGCAGTTTCCCCGATTCCATTGAGTGTTGGAACAAGTCGCATAAAGGCCTACAGAGAGCTTCGGTGCACTGTTTCAGAACAGATGGCCTGATATCATCACAACCTGGGGACTTCCCAGGTATGAGTCGCTGCAGCTTTCTCAGGACTATTGCAGGGTTTATTTGGGGGTGGCTGTTTGGTCTTCCTCCTGTGAAATAGTCATACCGCCATTTTGGTTCGTAACGGTAATACCCACATTGCTGTTTAGCTGTTTGGCGAAGGCTAAACTGAATGTTTCAGCCATCTCCAGACTAGTGAGATATTGACCGTTTTGGCCTACTAAGGCGCAAGCCCCTTGGTTGGTTGGTTTCCTTTCCGACATGAATCGGTACAAATTCTTCGGGTTTGCCAGGAGTCTTTTAGCAAGGTTAGCCTGGAATGACCTTCTGTCCCTCCTGACTTTTGCATTGCACCGGTTCCTGAGTTCCAAGTATGCATCATGGTCGATCTGGCTTTTAGATACGCGCCACGTAAACCAAGCCTTCCGCTTTGCTTGCAGAATACGCTGCGTGCCTCTCTTTAACCATGATGATTTTCTTTTGGGCTGTGTTGTGACTAAAGGGACGGTATCCGAGATCGCTGTATGAATAATCTTTTTTACCGCTTCCCAGTGTTCATCCACAGACAGCTCATCCTATGCTAAGGGCCAGTCTGCATCGGACAAGAGCCTCCGCATTTCAGCATAGTCAGCCTTGCTATAACACAGACATGGTTGCGTAGCGTCCCACTGCAAGTGCTCACGGAGAACGAGGTCGAAACCTATGACTGCATGGTCACTACTTCCTAGAGGAGTCATGACCTGAACCTTTTCGACGAGTAGTTGGTCACTAGTTAGAATGTAGTCTAGTTTTGATGACTTTCCACAAGGGCCCCACCTAGTGTCCTCTCCAACGTTCTCAGTCAGTCCCGTGTTCCGAATAGCTTGCAGTAGATTTCGGCCGAATTTTCCCTTACTTATATATATATTCATTCCTGTTTATGCGGGAACATACCAATTGTACAGGCATGGATAAGTTATTATATAAATTACAGTTTGTTTGTTCAATCTAACATTAGAGTCAGTCAGAACAGTCTGCAAAATAGTCTGTCTGTGTAACACATAAAGAGATATAGAAATATTGTCTTCGCATTAACTAAAAACCCAGACTTCATATGAATGTAATACAAATATCTGAGAAAAATAAAGCTTGAAGTCAATTCTCCTATAAAACTTTGTTGTGAACAGCATCCGTGAGATAAAGTTTATTGATGTATTATTTTGATTCAATAATGTATTTATTCCATTTTTGTCAGCAGTCTTATCGTAGTTTTATAATAGGAAAGAAATTTGATCTTTGATACGAAAGTTAGATAAGGTAGTGTTAGATTGTTTTACTGCATCAAATGGGGTCAATTCTAGAACTAACCATTTGCGCCATTTGCGTCAGCATGGCAGACTGTACATGTGAGTTGAGTAATACATTGAAAACTGTTTGAAATTCAGTCGCTTCTTTATTTCAGATCAAGAATACTCCTTGTACAGAATGTTAGCCAGCGTTTTCAAGTGGTTGCATCGGATCGTTCATGGAATTTGAGTTTGAATTTACATAAATGGTCATTTCAGTTTGGATGTTGGGTTATTCGACCTCAACCAGGAGGTATATAGAAGATTAAGCTCAGCAGGGAGATAAAGTATGTAAATATGAAAAGAACTTTATTATTTCATGTACATATAAATGTTTATAAATGTATATCACTCTACCGACTATATAAATAAACTATTTATTCCTAGAACGAATCAACTATTAGTCTACTACAGTACCTAAACGCGCTTAAATACCCTTACTTCCCTAAAGACTATAAATAAACTAGTAGCATAAATGCATAAAAAGACTATTTCACTCTACCGACTATATAAATAAACTATTTATCCCTAGAACGAATCAACTATTAGTCTACTACAGTACCTAAACGCGCTTAAATACCCTTACTTCCCTAAAGACTATAAATAAACTAGTAGCATAAATGCATAAAAAGACATAGTAGAAACAAATTTTTGTTCATCAAATTACAATGTACAACGAATATAATCAAATGTTTTAGACTCGACCTGGTTTTTCTTTGTCCTCCGGTACATTTCTGTTGTATTTACTTTGTAGTACAAGTTGCATTGATCTACATTCCGAATGAAGCTGAGAAACAATTGAAGTCACTTACTCATATATCATCCCTCAAGGTTTGGCTAGTAATGGCTCAGCATCCTTGATGAAATCCACTGTCACCATAACAAGACGCTGTACAGCATCTTATACAAGCACTGTCAACGATCTAAAATGGTTTTTATATAGCTTTCTACGCGTTTATCAACTTACTCGTACGGAGCAACCATGCTGTGACAAATGGCGGGCTATGGGTGACTTGAGTGCAGTAAAACAAATCTGCTTGACAATGACCAATATTAATCTACATTCAGTTGAATTCACATCTGGTATTACTTGCAATTTAAGTGATGTCAAAATCATAAAAATAAATCACTCGTTTTAAATTAATACACAATTTGAACATAAAACAAGATACGATGCCGCACACAACAAAGTTATATGGAGGAATTGACTTCAAGCTTTATTTTTTTCCCAAATATTTGTAATTTATCCGACACGTACTTGGGTTTTTTTGTTAATGCGAAGACAATATTTCTATATTTCTTTATGTGCTCCATTGAACGACTAACTATCAGAATGTGCTCACTAACTGATATCAGAGAGGACAGCAACCATGTAATTTCACTATAAATCAAATTCATGTAATTTAAATAATACTTATCCATGCCTGTACAACTGGTGTGTCCTACATTGATAGGAAAATATATATTATTATTATAGTAAACACTACCCATAATCTTGTTGTTTTTTATGTAATTTT